AGTTCGGTGTAAGGTACGGCATCCTCTCTGAGAGAATTTAAATTTGAAATCAAGTTATTTTAGCACTACAACAGGTCTTCTGCATGAACGGAAATAGGGTGTTGCCTAACCAAAAAGGGTTGGAGAACACCTTCTCAGTTTCTAATCGGGACACGGATGCGAGGTTGTTGAGACGACATGTTAATCTCCTGGTCGAAGATTTCCGCCTAACAGGTACTGATTGTCAGGATTGAAGGCTGATTGCCTATTTATTTTGTTAGTTGCCAATGTTTTGGTCTGGTTTGTAGGGTCGAGATTTCAAATTAACCAAGTCTCGGTGCAAAACAAGGTAAGGCATAAAAGACAATGTCCATTATAACTTGCAAAGTTACAATGTCGTTACAAAAGCGAGTTGATTGAGGCTACGACGTCTGACCATTCATGGTTTAGCCTAGCTGCCCTTTTTTTAGCGATGGAGGATGTTATTTCTGCCCGTTGTCTGGTTCGGCAGGCGATATCCAATTTGTTTACAAGCGCTGTTCGACGGTCCGATTGGCTTTGCACTCTTTGATGTTTGTCGAACAGATACTTGTGAAGTTCGGCCAGCTCGCTCTCTTGCTTTAACAGTTCTTGCAGTAGACTCTCGATTTCTTGTCTATTTCTATCCATGTCTGCAGAGAGTTGTTCCCTGGATAGTTAGAGAATTGTCACTCGTTGTTGTGATCTACCCGAAGCCGAATCCACGTCTGCCAAGGTGTGATTAATAGAGTCGGTTGTGGGGAATCAGAGTTCCTGAGTAGCGGTAAATTGAAGAAATGGTAAGTCTACAACAACCACAGATAATCGCTCAAGAATCTGGTTGAGCACGTGACCGGTAGGGGATCCGGCAAGCTGATCACCCAACAGACAAAGGAGGTTGTCCATTAGTTCATTTAATTCATCTCTAGTCAGGATGGAAAGAGATCTCCCTACTATCTTGAAAATCATATGTCGGATGTCAGCAGAAAGAACGACAGTGGAAAGGGGAATCAAAAATCCTGGGTCCTATATAAAAGAATTAAGAGTGAAAACGAAAGTGCAAATTCGGCGACCTGGTCCTGAGCGGCCGTCTGGGCTGATGGGGCCAAGTACACGGATGGATCGCGTAGACCTTGAGGACATCGCGGAGCTGTCATCGTCCGTACTGAGTTTGCAGGGGAAGGGGGCCGCTATTTCTTCCCTCATTTGGGATTGGGCGGCAGCCCCGTCGGCTGGCCTAGCAAGGAGCTCTTCGGGCGCGGACGAGACCGATTCCTGAAATATGACAATGAGTAAAACCGTGGAAGTTAAGTTATCAAGAATGTACTAGGTTACCGTGTAAGATTCCTCGTTTGGAATCTTGAATTGAGGCCAGAGAGTGCTCAGGAGCTTCTTCAGGCACTTGTAATTCGGCCACTCCTGGCGGCCCTTGTCTCTCAGCCGATGCTTCTGCACCCTAGTTGTTTGGCAGCTGACGGACCGTCCCCGATCCATCTCCAGAAACTTTGACTAGCTGGAAACTTAGCACATAAGTACAGTTCAAAGTGGATGTACATAGTTATGGAAAGCCAAAGACTACCTGGATTGGGGGTTGGCCTCCGACTTCGGCAGGCACTAAGTGCTCGGGGCATGGAATATGGGTAGACGAGATTTGCCTTTCGACCAGTGCCTCTATATTCTGGCCGTTCATCAGCAAGTTGGTTGGAACAGGCATTCATTCGGCTGAAGTTGGGTTTGTCGGCATAGTGGTTGGATTGGCAATCGGGCCAGCAGTGGCTGGTACAGGAGCAAGGTGAGAACAAGATAAATAACTAAGGCAAAGGTTTTACTAGGATAAGGTTACCTGCTAGGGCTCGCTGTGCGGTGGGCGTTTGGAATGCAAGGAAAATGGTCATTTCAACTTGAAGCGAGGCCAGGTAATCTTCTCTCGCTTTACGTTGCTCCTCCGAGGTCGCCTGCTGGGCCGTTTCAGGAACTTTTGCTTTTTTTCGGGAAGCGTTGGCCCCACCGGTCTATGTCTTTCATTTCCATTTTGCTTGTGGAGGTCCCAAGGCAACCTGCCCCATTAAAGGTTGTGGCAGAAAAATCAGCTTGGACTCCGATTGGGTGGTCGGAGGAAAAAGGATCTTTACGCAGTCATTAATGAGATTTCCGACCACAGACCAAGCAATCTCTAACCACCATTCTCGGAAAGCTAGGACGATATCAGGGCAGTCACGGAAAATAGTGTAGATATGTTTGATTAAGTACTTGGTGAGTTGATCAATGTGTGGCTTGATGGCGTATTCAGCAACAGCGTTTTGGGCATGGGTTGGGACAAGGTGAGGAGTAAAAGTCAAGGCTGGGATGCCTTGACTGCAGCCGAACTGACGCTCCAGGTAATGTCGGTAATATAGGAAGGAAGCATATGTCTTTTTCATTTTTTCGAGCTTCTTCCCAGCAAAAATGGATCAGGGTTTTAGGGTCACCTCCCAGTAATGTTTAAATGTCGGATGTGGGGATTCGGCGGGTGGCGCATATGGAAAAGGTATAGAATGAGGAACGCAGAAAGGTGGCGCGGAAAAAGTAGCAAGATGAAAATAGGGATAATAATTTGAGTCTGATATGTCGGTTTCCAAAATGGCTTTAAGGGTGGTCTAGGGGTCCTTATGATGTTTTCGGTCAAAGCAGAGGAAGAGGATATATTGACCAAAAGTTATATCTGAATCAAGAAGAAGAGGCGGCCGACCAAAAAAAGGGGATGGAAGTACAAACAGAACCAAAGTTCCAAAAACCAAACCGGACCAGAAAAGACGGTGTCAAATTTGGTGGAGCTGGACAGTTTGGGTAGGTTTTGGAAAGAGACCCTCATAAAAACTGGCAAGAAACAAAGTACCGACTGAGAGAAATTGGTCCTGAGCTAGGTGAATGGCGATATCAGTGTGGGTATAGGTGATGGATTTGGAAGAGGGAAAAATTATATATCTGTTAAGGCACCAGAATATAAACACGTATGAGGAAATTGTATAGTAAGAATAAAGTGCTGAATTCTTAGAGAGTCATGTACCTGCAGAGCCAGTACAGCAGGAAGGCAACATGTTCCTCATCGATCACTGGAGTGTCTTTCACTCCATAGTGCAGCTTTACAAAAGGTCCCCAGGGTACGACTTTGTTGCGCGGGATTGTCTTTATCGCCCATCTTGGGTGGTCGGCTGCTGGTTATTGGCCGGTCAGGGTTCTGACTACTAGATCTTCCCCCACAATCGGAATGTGGGCGATCATGAAAACATCCATCAAAGTCGGGCCAATCGAACCTGAGGGCAGCAGAACGCACTAACTTCCGGGCCCCAGAAAGCAGTCATGGCGAGGATGAGTGTGTCTTGAATGTTGAAACTTTGGCAAAACAACAGAATGCTTTGTCTAGCCTTTGCTGCTTCCATTGCGCCCCGAAGCTTTTCTCTACTATTTCGTACCAGGTACGAAATTCATCCTTGGGATTGAGGAGGTTAGTTTTGATTCCGTCCCAGAGACGGGTGGCGTTGAAGGCTTTGTCATGAATGGCAAGAAGTTCAGCATGGGAGCCCCCTCGGAAATAATAGAAACAAAGGGGCGCACCACCGGAGTAGTGGTAGAAGACGGGTTCATGGCCACAGCGGGGCGGATCCATCAAACGGAATGTTGGTAGTGGTCTCCATGGGTACACACACAAATGACTGTCATAATGATGATGGAACATACCTGGGACAAAGGACATAAGCCATCATGTCAACGGTCACCGTCTTCGAGATGTGACTCTCGACATTCTCTAGGGGGAGGCAAGTTGTTGAGTTACGGAAAATGGTGCCTAGAGTTTTGTTCTAATTGCCCATTAGGACAAGATGGGCCGGTAGAACCAAATTAGATATAGCAAGATCTGGCGGTGCAATTCGGCGAGGCTGGCATTGAGGTGTGATGAGCCAATTGGTCGTTCGTTTGGGCCGAATGGTTGAAGAGCCAAGAAGTACTGACTTGATGGTTACGGTATCCAAATGCCGGGGAAGCGCACTCCTTGAAGTAATTAATGCAGATTATGGGAGATTCGGGGGATAACCGCCAGGCAGTTACCCTGTAACTGAGTAACCAAATTCAACCATTTAGAATCGACGCAGGCAGACAAATTTAAGGGGCCGAATGTGGAGAAAAATGGAAGCCCCAAAAAAATGCAGATGCTAATTTTTTGAAAATGTGTTTTTTTTTTTTTTTTTTTTTTTTTTCTATTTTCCTTGTTTAGATTTTGAAGTTCTATTCTAGCAAGGTCTAGGAATTCATATATGATCCCAAGTCAATTCATCAAATTCAAAATTCTACCATTGTTTCTTTTGAATTTTATTTTGTTCGTAGGATTTCGCGAGCCAACAACAATATTATACCTTGATATTATACATACATATATTAATTCTATTTTATAAGGCAATAAAAATAATATATTAAATAAATTAAATATTGGTAGTGAAACACAACCTTGGTTGTCCGTAGATATAGCACAAATATGTTGGTACTTACTCGCATATTCACTTAATTATTACAGAAGAGTAGTGGTATAAAATGTATGGTCATGTGCCTAATTATAAATTCAGCATATGTGTTGATCTATTTCAAAAGATAATTACGTCATAGATAATTAATAATTAATTATATCATATAATAACATAATTTTACTATAAAATGTATTATTGGTAACTAGAAAATAGATGCGTTTATCTAATATGTATTTATTTTTTTTTTATAAAAATTTACTATTAAAGATTAGTTTTTATTATAGTATAAAACTCAAAAAATATAAACACAGTGTCAAATTAGAAAATTATCTGAAAAGACTTAAAACAGTATTTATTTGCAGAAATAAAAGTAGGATCATTTAAACCCATTTCGCCGTTGTTCTTACTTCTTACGATAGGGCCTACCTGGGCTTGACTGGAATCTTCTAGAGACGATCGTCGCACCTTCTACACACACGCATAAATAAATAAATAAACAAATTGCACTTATATTCTTTCCTTTCCCCCTCTACATCCTCAATCCAGTATTCAATATTCATGGCTCTATTCGGCGACCCCTTCAGGCGATTCTTCGTCAATCCATCGATCTACCGCGCGCCGCCGGGATCAGCGGCTCTTCTAGACTGGGTGGAGTCCCCATCCGCTCACATCCTCAAGCTCAATGTACCAGGTTGGTTAGTAATTCTCTTAATTTTCCCTGTCAATTAAACATACGAAAAGTTATATCTGAATTCGGTGGTTGTGTCTGTACGTATCGTAGGGTACAGGAAAGAGGATATAAAAGTGCAGATTGAGGATGGAAATGTTGTGGTGATAAGAGGAGAGGGCGAGAGGGAGGATGAGAAGGAGAAGGAGAAGGAAGTGATTTGGCACGCAGCCGAGAGGAGGGCGGCAAGCGGATTCGTGAGGGAGATGGAGCTGCCGGAGGACGTTAAGGTAGAACAGATCAAGGCGCAGGTGGAGAACGGCGTGCTTACGGTGGTTATACCTAAGGAGACAACTTCCAAAGCGCCCAAGGTTAGGAACATTAATATCACCAGTAAACTTTGATTTCATCCATCATTATCTTGGAACAACATAGCATCGGTGCACACTATCTACTTTTATAATAAATCATTCATTCCTTCCCGTTCCGTTAGAATAAACTATGGGTGTGTATGTCTAGCGATTTGGATTTTGAGTTTGATTTAAATAATAAAAAAGTTGAATTGAAATAGTTGTAATGTTTTTAATGTAAAATTGATTTTTATTATAATATAAAAAAATAAATGTTTAATTTGATATTTTTTAGTTAAAAAAATTGGAATTAATAGTTAAAAATTCTTACAAATTTTCGAAACAAACACACTCTATATATATAATATTAGTACATTGCTATACTCGGCTTTAGTTTGAGTTGTGTTATTTAGCATGCATATGATCAAATTTAGTTCCAATTAGCTCCGGCTCTAGAGCTGCTAAACGAGGCGATCGAGTTTGACTTAGAATTTGTGAGTGATACAAGTTTGGTTCTGGTTTGATTCATAAAAAATTTGAGCTAAAGTAATAACTCGAGTTTTGGTTTGTTGAGTTCAAATTCAATTTTGAGTTCGGATGATAATCGAGAAACCCGAGCTCGAGTTTGAATTCTGCTGGAATTTTATATTACTTTTGCAAAATACAAAAGAAGTAATCACAATTTTTTTTTTTTTTAACGGATAAAGTATATACATATATAATGATTTAAAGGGAAGTGCAAATTATATAAAAATTATTTTATACTCTCGTCTCTTAAAGATTATTGTTTCTAGAGATTATATTTATTTTTTAACGTTATTTTATTTAATATTAAAAATATTTTTATATTTATATTTTTTTTTCACAAATATTTTTTTATTAGTATTATAAAGATAGTAATTGAAGTATTTTTTTGTATTTTTTTTTATTTGTAAAATATTTTGATATAATAATTAATATTGAAATATTAACAAGCAAAATGTAAATAAGATTTTTAGAGTCGGATGAAAGTAGTATTTTTTATTTATATCATATTAGCTTAATAATCTGTAAAAAATGTACTCAAAATTGTTTTTATATTGTAAAATTTGAAATGAAGTTTTTAAATTTGTCTTTTTGACATCAATAAATTTATAATATTTAATATAAATTGTATATACAGTCTGTACATGGTTTTAGATAAATTAGTTATTTTTTTTTTTTTGTGATATAGAGAATTTTGTTGATGATATAAAAATATTTTGGGTTGAATAATTGAATTTTTATAAGTAGATATATATTATACTAATACGGGTATATTTTTATATTTTTCTAATAATACTTATAAGGCTTTGTTTTATTGAAAAATCCAAAGCGAAATAAATCAAGAAAAAAATTAATGAAAGAAGTGTAATATTGTATGATTATTTTGAAGTAATGTAATATTTTAATTTTAATGAATTTCGCTTCGGTATGATTTTAAGGATCTTATCTATTTTTTTTTTCAGGTTAATATTTGAATATAAGTTTATATTAAAATATAATATAAATTAAAAAAATTATAAAAATATTGTTATGAGTGTATAATAATAGTAATAGAAAGATATCTATAAAAAAAATTTTATACAAGTACAAATATATTTTAATGTTAAGTAAAATAATATAAAAAACAAATTTGACCTTTAGAAACGGATAAATATGAAGTATAAATTTTTGAAAATAGAATTAATAAATAATTAATATTTTATAATAACTACGTATTGTAGGTCAATTTGTATATTTTTATGATTACTTCAAAATGAAATATCTTTGTATATAATATAAAATATTGCTCGATTAAAAAATCATTTCCTCCCGCATGCATTTTCCATTTTTCTCCCTCGTTCCTATCTTTCTATTTAGCTATTCCAATCACATCGTCATAAGATATAAATATACTCCTTCCGTCCCAGTCCATTATCCCAAAAACTTTTTGGTTGAAATTTAGTTAATATAATAATTGTAATAGAATGATAGATTTTTATTTATTTAATATTTTATAAATTAAAAATAAATATTTCTAAATATGAAAATAAAATTCTCTATTTCAATAGTAAGTATACATATATATTTATAGTAATATACAAATCGTTTAAATAAGATAAATTCTATAAATTTTTTTAAATAAGATAACTATCATAAATATAATATATTGTTTCTAAATATATTTTAACATCCCTCCTCAAACTCAAGATACGATGGAACAAACTTGAGTTTGTCAGAAGTGATTGAAAAAGATATAGCAGAGATCTTTCACATACAAATTTGAATTAGCTAAGATTGACTAAAAGTGGTGTAGTCGCCAATTAGATTTGAGTCAAAAATAGAACTTTCAACACCTTTAGAATTGGAAACATGACTCTCTCGCTCACAATGAAACTACGAGCCGAAAATAGGATTCGTTCACTCTATAGAGCTAGAGTCGGAAATAGGACTCGCTCGCTCACAACAAAGCTAGAGTCAGAAACAGAACTCCCTCACTCTCAATAGAGTTAGAATCGAAATAGGACTCTCAACGACGTTAGAGTCGAAAGTAAGCTCTGTAGTGAAGTAGTAGAGACGGAGACGACATGAGATAACAACATGATCATGGATATAAGCAGATACATTAATAAAATATAGAAATATAGATGGGATATAACGGATCATGTAGGTACTTGGAGAGAATTTGGCTCTGATTCCATGTTGGAATATGAAACCGAAATTCTCTATTTCAATTGTAAGAATACATACATATTTATAGTGATATACAAATCGTCTAAATAAAGCAAAAATTTTATAAATTTCATAAATAAAATAACTACCATAAATATAATATATTGTTTCTAAATCTCTTTTAACAAATATAAATCAATTTTAACGCATATAACTTTTATATTTAGACAAATTATTGGTGTAAGTATTTGTAAAAATACTAAAAATTAAAAAAAAAAGTATATAAATATAAATTTGAATTATTTGTAATAAATTATTATTGTAATTATTTAAAATATAAATTAAAAAAAATTCAAATACTTATTAAAATTTTTTTAAAAATCAAATATTTAATTTAAAATAATATATTATATATTTTATGTTTTTAACATAATTTTTCATACCACAAACCAAAAATCAATTCATAAAGTTGGGTGAATGGATATTTTTTTTTTTTTTAACAATATCAAATTAAATTCTTAGATTTTATTTTTATATTATAAAAATCAATTATACATGGACAATATCAATATTTTTTATATTACATCAAATAATTATTCAAATTAAAAAAATATATTATTATTCAAAATTTGAATCCACATCCAAAATTTAACCAAATATATGGTTAGTGTTTATTAATTATGAAATATATTGTTTCAAATTTTTTAAATTGAACTTATTTTTATTTTTATTTTTTTTAAAAAAAAATCAGCCAATATATTTTTATTTTATTTTTATTTTTTAAATGTACTAAATTTTGGATATATACCAATATATCGAATACTAAAGTATCAATGTAATATAGTATTATTTTTTCGTTGTAAACCGAAATAATTTTGGTAGTTCGATATATATCGATGGTGTCAAATTATATACTAATATTGTATCAAAAAATTTTGGTATAATATCATATGGAATTGAAGTTTTTAGGATACCGAAACTTTATGATTTTTGGTATCTTTTTTTTCAATATGATATGCAAGATATTTTGACAATTAGATATTTTTTACTTCTAATTAAAAATAAATTATTGAAATAATTATGGATAAAAAATTCAATAAAAACTTCTAATATATTTCACAATTAATATTATAAAATATACAATATAACACACATTCACATAATAGATAATATCTATTGTACATTCATAAAAAATCAACAATTCAAAACAAAATATTATTATTTATTTACCGCCATAAAATATTTAAAACATAAAAAATAAACAAATATATCATAAATAGATTGATTTTTATTAGTTGAGATTTAATTTTTATTAGATTTGTTAATTATTTCCTTTTATAAAAAGTTGTATAATTGTATAGAACAACCAAAAAAGAAAAGTTGGCATAATTTGGGGGCGGATGGAGTACATAAATACCATACATATATATAAATATATATTATATTACATTTTATAGCATATATATATAATATTACGTTAAACACACACAACAATATATGCATATTATATCTATAAAATAGTGCTTCACAATAGGGTAATATTTTTATTTGTTATTTCGATATTATATTTATAATACGTTATCAACATGATCAACTTGTGTATTTTAATATTATTATGGCTACTAATATTGCAAAATAGAAATATGTTTCACTTGTCAGTTTTGGCAAAAATGTTGTCTTGGGTATAGATGTTGAAATGCATATGGAATCGATCGGCCTGGGTGGAACGATTTTGAGAGGCAATAATGATGCCAAAAGAGTCGAGTAAAGACAATAATATTCCTTCGACATCACATTGATGAAGGATTGAAAATTAAATATCTAACACTCAATAAGTTCTTGACTTGTGAAATAAGCTAAAAAACGATATGATCACCTTAAATTGATCATACTGCCAAAAGCCCGCAGAGAATGGAAAAATTTGAGATTGTACATACTGCCAAAAGCCCGCAGCGAATAGCAAAATTTGAGGTTGCAAGACTTCAAATTAGTCACTGAATATAATTCCGCTATGTTTAGGATCACTCACAGTTGAACCTATGCAGCGAGATATAAATGATAGTGACATGATGGAGAAAACATTATTCACATTCTACATCTCAAACGTGCTTTTATAGTAGTAGTATCGAGAGAGAGACTTTAGAACATATTCAAATCTTATTGCATTTCTTTTTTTTGGTAGAAAAAAAAAAACTATTGTTGAAACATAACACATCCAGGCCAATAGATTCTAGCCCAATTCGTGAAGGGAATGCGATACAGTCTGCAAATCTAGGCCGTGGAAACAACTAAAGCCGAACAAAATCCGAAGAGAAGGCAGAGGCCGAATACGTGACCATCCTCAGCCTCGTTGAAACAATGACAAGATTACAAGCTTCTGAAGTTGCAGAATGACGAGTAGAAAATAAATGATGAAGATAAGTGTCAAAATTGCGGCACAAAGGAACACTGGTCATACATTTGTAGAACGCCTAAGCACTTGGCTCAAGTGTACGCTAAAGGTGTTTGTTTTAGTCCGTATAAAGACTTTGTTAGTTTGCACACATTTTTCTCTTGGCCATGAATGATATATCCTTCCGTCTTTTCCATATATACCTCTTCTTCTAATTTGTCATTCAAGAAAGTGGTCTTCACATCCATTTTGTGAATCTCGAGATTGTTTAAAGATGCAATCAAGAGAAGCACTCGAATGGATGTTATCCTAGTTACTAGTGAATATGTGTTAAAGAAGTCAAATCCTTCGGTTTGTTTATACTCTTTCACTATGAGACAAATTTTGTATTTATCAATAGACCTATCAGCCTTGAGTTTCTTTTATAAGACCTAATTTCACTCTAGTGGTTTACAACTTTCGGGTAGGTCAGATAACACTCAAGTGTTATTATACATTATTGAGTCTATTTCACTATCTATTGCTTCCTTCAAAAAAGGAGCATTAGGACTAGATAGTTCTTCATTGATCGTTACTGGATCATTGTCCAACATATATGTAATGAAATCTGGACCAAAGGTTTTCTCGACCCTTGTCCTTTTGTTATACCTAGGTTTTGAAACCTCTTGATCAAGGCTACTAGCCATTTGTTTCTTTTCACCCTCTAGTTCTTCATCTACGAGTATTGGGTTGAACTGAATCCTTTTTTTACAAAGATAGATATTTTCAAAGAATATGGTATTCCTTGATTCTATCATATTTCCCTCGGTCATCCTAGGGATTTCCAATTTGTGAACTATGATACGATAAGCACTATTTAGTGTGTATCCGATAAATATGCAATCTACCATTTTCGGGCCGATAGAGACTTGCTTTGGAGGTGGAGCTTTCACTTTTGCTAGCCACCCCCACACTTTGAAGTATTTTTATGAGAGTTTCTTGCCTTTTCATAGTTTATATGGAGTAGCATCCTTATCCTTAAGTGAAATCTTGTTCAGGATATAATTTTCAGCTAGTACTGCCTCCCCCCACAAGTTTTGGAGAAGTCCTAAACTTATCAACAAGACATTTATAATTTCCTTAAATGTTAGACATTTTTGTTCCGAAACACTTTTCGATTGAGGTGAATATAGAGTCATTCTCTGATGAATTGTGTCACTTTCCTTACATAATTCTTTGAACGGGGCCACATACTCGCCATATTTATCACTTCGAATTGTCTTGATTTTACAACCAAATTGATCTTCTGCCTCGTTTTTTAAGTTCTCTAAGGCCTCAATTGCTTCGCTCTTATCTCTTAATAGGTAAATATAGGAATATCTTGTGCAGTCATCAATAAAGGTGATGAAATTTTTTTTCCACCTCTAGTTAGCACAAATTTTAAATCACACACATCAGCGTGAATTAATTTTAATGGTTTAGTATTCCTTTCGACATAAGGGAAAAGTAATTTTGCCATTTTGGCCTCCATGCAAATTTCACATTTATTTTGAGTGTTCAATTCTTTTATATTTAAGTAAATTCATTTTTACCAATCTTTCTATAGCATTTAGGTTTACATGACCTAATCTACAATGTCATGAATCAGAATACTCAATCAAGTATGAAAAAGAAGCAACATTTTCATTATCATTAGGTGGTGCTCGACGCACAACTATTACATTCAACTTAAAACAATCCATTTGTAAGATAACCTCTAGCTAAGAACATCTCATTTTTCAAAAATATAAATTTATCTGCAAGAAAGACAAGTTTAAAACTATGCTTAACTAGCAACGATCTTGAAACGAGATTTTTTCTAATATCTGGCACGTGCAGGACATCCTTTAGCGTTAGCTCTTTGCCGGAGATCATCTTAAGCACCACGTTCCCCACGCTTTGGACCTCGGAAGTTGTGTGGTTTCCCACGTGCAGTTTCCTTCCTTCCGTCTCTTTGTAGGTTGAGAAGCTTGTCTTATTGGAGCAAGCATGGCAGGTTGCTCGGGTATCAATAAAATATACTTTCAAACTTTCTGCATCATTTGTTTCATACATAACAGTGACAAGATCGTCCTTGTTGAGGTCAAGATTAGTCCGGTGGCTCGTCTCAACCAATCGGGAATTCGATTTCTTTCTTTTTGGTGCCTTACAGTCCTTAACTTGGTGCCATGTTTTATCACAGTTAAAACAGTTACGTGTAAACTTGAATTGTTTGGCCTTACCTTTGCCCTTATCCATTTGAGTTGGCCGTGTATGTTTCTTGGAGGGATCTGCGACCAAGTTGGCTTTGGCAATATCTTTGTCTTTATCTTTGTGCTATTTTTTATTGTCCTCCTCTATCCGAATTCGGATAATAAGATCTTCAAGCCCTAATTGCTTTAGTTAATGCTTCAACCCGTGTTTGAAGTTGCTCAGATTCGGGTGCAATTTTTTATCATCATGCTCGTGGTGAACTTTTCTGGCAGTGGCATCTCCTCACCGATGACAGAGTGGACAATGTGTTGAAATTCTTCTACTTGTTCAACGACAGACTAGCCATCTATCATTCTATAGTCCATAATCCGAGCCACAACAAACATTTTGGACCCGAAGTTCTCATACTCATAATTTTTCTCAAGGGCATTCCACAGCCCTTTCGCACTATTTATTTTACAGTATACATTATAAAGAGAGTTAGAGTGACTACCTAATATGATGTTCCTTCTCATGTAGTCTACATGTGCCCACGAATCATAATTTGCATGCGTCTGCTGATCCGCATCGGGCTCTCCGGTTGTTGGGTCATCGTGCAGCACGAACATGGTAAACCCAATCGAGGTCAGGTAGAAGAGCATCTTCTCTTGCCACCTCTTGAAGTCCACTCCAGTAAATGATTGTGGAACTAGTACGTGGAACATCATCCATGGATCAAGCCTAGGATCAGTAGTTTGGGCCATAAAGGCAGCAGAGGGTGCGGCCACAAACTCAAAAACGTCCCCACATCCACTTGAGGCAAACTCAGTAAACACAGGGTTATCTATAAAGGGAACCGGCCCAAATGGGGGAGCAGCAACTCCGGCGGCGGCTCCGGAGGCTTCGTTAAGGGTTGACATTCTCGCAAAGTAGTATCGTAATTTTCAATTGTTATTTAAATAGATATTACAAAAAATAAATGTACCGTAAAATCGAGTTGATGATGAATTCTCTTTTCGAAAATTAGATACGCCCCGGTAGTACCTCAGGTGGCGGCGTTCTAATCCAAAAATAAAACGGTTTCTATCTCGGATAAGAGTGACACCTCAAATTTTCGGAGCTTCAGCAAACTAAAACGAGGGAGGAACTAAGTTCGGTAGGTTTCCAGAAAGCTAGAAGAGAGGAGAAGATGAGGAGAGGATGTTGTTTGTATTGTGTTTTAGAATTATGAGGGTGGCTCTTTATATAGGTGTTTCCTCTCGGCCAAAAAGGCAGGGATCAATTCTGATCGTAATTATGATATTCATTACCGATGTAATTTATTATGATTTTAAACATTCCGTTTGAGGCTATCGTAATTGATTCTAATTTCAAACTTCTATTTGAGACGATTGTAATATATTCTAATTGCAAACTTTCCGTTTGAGACGATTGTACTTTATTCTAATTTCATATATTCCGTTTGATATTATAATAAATTTATCCACCGAATAAGATTTTATCTAGATAATCCTGCAACTTAGGCCATATACTCGGGTTTAGCTTAGGGCTGCATATTTTGGTTTGTCTCGAGACAGAAAAAATAGCCAACATATTAATCAAACCATATACAATAAATAAATATTGTTTATCTATTTTGGCCAAATTAATCCAATTAATTTGGTTCACCAACCCGTCGCATTTTCACTCGCCGATTAATCGGTTGTGTAAATTTCGAGTTTAATTTTTTAATATATTAAATTCCACCAATTAAATAACCAATTATTCAACGAGATCTTTTCCGTAAGTATACTATTTATTTATTTATTTTTATTGTTGATGTTGGGAATAATTGAAGATTCAATCTAATTTGTTTGGTCGTCCAATTAATTGTCCATATAGTAGCATGTGTTTTTATCATACTTATTTGTTCAAATTCGATTATAATTGTTAATTTATTGTATTAAATTTATACTCTCTTTGGGAGACATATCTTTTATTTGTGTAATTTCACTGCATTTATTGCTTTCTTGAATTGACTGATTATTTTTAATGAGTTCGAAATTAATTGTTGTTGTTATATTTCTCACTTGCATTAAGTATATATATATATATAGATATATTAATGTGAATTTAAATTAGTGACATTAATATAATATATCTTTATGAATCTGTTGAAATAGTATGTTGTCAAAGAAACTGATAATGTGTAAATTAGTTTTTTTATATATTGGAATATTGTGTGTGATGTATGAGATTATTGATTCGTCCAAAGAAATTCAGTAGTCATCTATGTTGTTTTCATGTTTGGTGAAATTCAGTAGTCATCTATGTTGTTTTCATGTTTGGTGATATTAAATACGGTGATGATAATTTGATTATTTGTGTGTGAGTAATAGATCTATTCAAAGACGGAGATATTATTTGACACACTATTTTATTGTCAATATCTGATTGTCAAAACAAGATTAACATTGACGAGTCAGTAATTTTTCAAAGACAATTATTGATGTTGTTCGATAACATGTGATGACATTGAAAGTTTATTTTAAATTCACATACCATGCATTCAATTGCTTATAAGTATTCTTTGTTTTTATGAAATCAAATTCATATGCATTGAAAGTGACTTTTATTCTAATTTGGTTTTAAAAAAAATTGGAAATTCATTAATAATGTTGTTTGCATTTTGATGGTGAAAATCAAATATTTGAAGTTATCAAAGTAACATCTCTTATACGAGATTTTTTCTTGATAATATAAGTGTTTTATTTCTGTATTTTAACTCATGTGGTTATTTTATGGCCCATACGTAGTTGATAATTGACAAAATAAAATATACATTTATGATCATCGCTCTGGTTACCATGTTGATTGGTCAAATCAGCATGGTGCTAATTTGACTCAATTAGCAAATGTCTATAAAAAAAAATAGTAAATATCTATATAATATATAACACATATTTGAATAGAACATTCTATAATTATATGTAGCAAAATCTATCATAATTTTAGTAAAATATATTTTGATTTCAGCACAATAGAATTTGATCTAAACAACAAATGTCTACAAAGAAAATAATAAATATTAATATAATATATAGCACATAATATAACACAATATATCTTATCTGTCTTGTGACGATTTGTTAATTATTTCAGATTAATATGCTAACTAGTAATATGTTGTATGTCGTGTCATGATTTGCTAATTACTTCATATTAGTATGCTAATTTGGTCAAATCAATATGATGTTGATTTGATTAAATCAACACCCAAACTGCCGCCCTTCGATAATATGTGTGAGATAATTATATGGTTTTAACTTATGTGAATAATGAATCAATCCAAAAAGTGATTTATTATTTGATATTACTTATTATTCATATATGATTATTGCAACAAGATGACTGTTAGCAATCAATGTTATTAATTGGAATATTGATCATTGATGTTGCATTTAGTGTCTTGAGATGAGACTGCATTATTCTTGAGTTTCATTATGTCATGTGAGTATTTATGCGTATATTTATCAGGTCTCCAACACTGTTTGGGGACAACTTCAAGCACCAAAAAGAATCAATATTGATTCATTTGGACTAAATGAGTCTCGACTGGGCATTAAGAATAGACTAACTCACTCCTCTTATGGCGAAAAGCACTGCTACTGAAAAGCAGTTGTTTAAGAAGTGGAATAGGTCTAATCGTCTAGGTTTAATGATTATTAAGAAAAACACTCCAGAAATCTTTCAAAAACAATATCTAAGGATATCACTATTGCCAATGAGTTTATTTTCGAAATTGAGAAAAATTTTACCAAAGGCGATAAGGTGAAAGTTTTATTATCATGAGGTATAACGGCAAAAGTAACATAAGAAAAGAATATTTCTAATCATTACTAATACGTGTTCCTCACATCAAATAAGGAATTTAAAAAAATAGGAGAAGTCAAATCGTATGGCCACTGTAATAATGAAATGTGCCATTCAAAAGCATTTAGGATACTATCATGAAAGTTTGAAAGCCAAAGTTTTTTGAGTATATTGAGAAAAAAATTGATGGAAGTGGAAAAAGAAGAAATTAGTTCACCTTCTTCCAAACTTAATTTAGTTTGCTCTGAAATTAATTTAGTTTTAATTTATAAACACATAGGAGGGATAGATTTTGGTGCAATAACTTACATCATTGTGTCTATACAATATTGTCTACATTGTCCAAAAAAATTAATGGTGAAAGATACATTTGTATTGCTAAAGACAATAAAGTTTAAGTTTAAGTTATTGACAATTTTAAATTATTATTAAGTATTGGTTATTATTTGAATTTTGATGACATTTTTTTTTGTGGTATCATCTTTTAAAAAAAAATTTATTTTCATTTATGATTTGGAAAGATTCAGTTATTATTGTTCATTACAAATAAAGTTTTAGTATTTTTCAAAAGTCAAAAGCGGTTGGAACTAGTACCTTATATGATAATAATTATTTATTTAATAATGTCATTTCATATTATGAATTACTTATTGAACATATTGGTACAACTTCTATAATTGCGGATCTACTTACTAAATGGTTGCCACTAAGATCTATAATGAGCATATTGCTTGTATGAAATATATTTTAATATTTTGATTTAGTAAAAGGTGATTAGTAATGTTCAAATACACTTAGAGGTGTTTGAAAAATAATATTTTGAAGAGCTTTTAGCTTATAGAATAATTTTTAATTGTTTAACCAATCACAAAGTTAATTTTAATATTTACTAAATTAACTTTTTAAAATAACTTCTTGATCCAAAAAAAAATTAATTTTTGAAATGTTGTATATCTCAGTGTTTCAGAACTTAAATTTCTTTTGTGCCTTATTTCTCCTTAAAATAATTTATTCTTTTTATACATATTAATATAGTTTTTATTTCAGTATTTATTTATTATTTTAATATTTTTAAATTTAATTTTATAAATTTAGATTGATTAAAGTTATTGTTTTTTATATAAATTATTTTACTTATAAAATTTTAAAATTGTTTAAATAAAGACAGTAAAAAAAATATTAATATTATTAATTTATTTATATATACTATATATTTTTGTCGCATATTAGAATAAATTTATTTAAAATTATAAATTTAGTGAAAATAAATTAGTTTATAATTAACTTAATACAAATATATACACAAATTATTTATTTTTTTAAAAATGTATACAATTTCTAATGAAAAAAAAAATCATATTTTTAATAAAAATACATTGATTTTCTTACAAAATATTTTAAAAATAATAAAAATAAATATTTTAATAAAATTTTATAATTAAAATTTCAAAAAAAATCCTATACATTGAAAGAACGTAACTAATTATTTTACAAATAAAATACAAAATGTCTTTAATTATTATTTTAAGTGTAATCAACTAATATCAACTAATTATTTTGAGGGTGTTCGGCAAAATAGATTTTTGAAGAGCTTTTAACTTATTAAACAGTTTTTAGTTGTGTGACCGGTCAAAAAGTTAATTTAGGTGTTTGGT